CCCCAAAACCCCAAAACCCCAAAACCCCAAAACCCCATGAATAAAAAAACAAGTGTAAGCCTTTAGATGTATTATAATTTACACTAATTCAATTAGAAAGAATGGATTTAATTGAAGAAGAAAGCTATAGAGATTAGACAGTTAAATAGAATCTGTCGAGCATTAGTAAGGAATTCGAAGAACTAAAAATAGAACTTGGCATTAAGAAGCCGAGCCAGGATTCAAAAACTTTGTGGAATGATCCAACTTCTTTTTTTGATGAAAAGCGAAATCAATTGTTGCAGTCAACTGGATATAAAATACCAAGAGAAAATTCAAGTAGTACCTAGTAACATCCATAAGATAAAAAGGAATCTGATAAATATTCGTACATATTATTATCTATTAAATAAAATTTAGAGGGAAATTATTGTTGTCTGGGAAACTAGGATCTTTCTCAAATGAGCATTAACAATTGAAATTAGAATTGGAGTCTGCGCAATGTGGAAGCAGTAAAAATTCCTAAAATACATTAATGCAAAAATGATCTTAAAAAATCGGGCATCTCCAATCCGATTAAAGAGGAAATACAAAGACATTATTAAACCAACCTCAGAATATTATTACAAACTTTAGAAAGAAAATCTCTAACATTGTAATGCCATTGAGTTTTGAATTTACTTGTTATAGATAGACGAAGATTCTTCAAATAGGAAGATGATTGCGATGAATACACCAACTCAAATAAATCATTTTAATTTTGCTCCAAGTACTCCAAGATAAAAATTAGCCTCAATGCTAAATAGTTAAGCTCTCAAAAATATGATGGTCAAGCAATAGAACACTAGCAAATTTGGTAGTTTTAAATAGTCTTTATTTATCAACAACAACAGGAAGACTTCTTTAGCAAATGATCAAGTTTTCATGGTAAATATTTCGCCATAATGCATTAATTAACCTTTTAAAATAGAATTAAAATAACGCTTTATACAATTCAATCCAGACTGATAATATGTATGAGCCTAACAGTGGTAGATTTAACTATGATATGATATCTACGAAAGGAGGAGGTCTTGGTTAAGGAAAGGGTGGAGGTGGGGATCATCATGAGAACAGTTTTCTCTTTGAAAGCCCAGGAGGAAACGACTTTGATGATACATATGACAGAAATTACTTACTAAACAATAGCAGAGGGGGGAAATAATCCTACAATTAGGACTAAGTTTCGAGAAATGTAAATGAACTTAAAAAACTGAAAAAAAAGAAAAAAATAACTAGAATGGATAGTCGAAATAGCAAGAAAAAGGGGAAATTAGTAAGAAAAAGCAAAAAAGGATCTTAAATTGGTTTTAGAGGCATAACAAATTTCTTCAGAGGCAATACAAATAATAAAAATTTACAGCAGACAACATCAAATGCATCTGAAAATAGCGATTAAGAGGAGGAGGAGCCTGTGTAAAGTAAGAATTAATGCTGACATATATTCATTTTTTAGTGATTGAATCCAGATTTTAAAGAAGCAAATTCATAATATTTCCCTATTCAAGTATAAAATTTGGTTGGGATATGTTTCAAATAATCATCATCATTGGAATGGCAATCTTGATTCCATTTCATCTAAGTTTTGGAATAGATGCAAATCTTATATCAATGCTCATTTTCGTTGAATGTTGTATGATAATAGACATTTGTGTGAACTTTAACTGTGGATACCTTTCCAAAGGAGTACTTGTTATGCAACGAGATAGTATCATTCATCAATACTTAAGAGGCTATTTCTTACTCGATTTCATATCTGGAGTTCCTGTATATACTATATATTATAACCTTTATGGAGACTTATGCTTTTATAGTATGGATTATCTTTTGACAAATAATGTCGATGGAACTATTAAGTACTAAGGATAGCTGATTTAAATGAAAGATTCTTCAATAGCATTTTACATACTAATGCTTATATTTAAAATTATCAAGATGATAAAATTCTCAGATCTATCAAATAGAGTAAATGAACTTATAATGACTGATTTCGGTGATATAATGTTCAAAGCTTTAAGAATCTGCATTATGGTCTTCTTATTTGCTCATTGGCTTGGATGCATATTTTGGGTTGTTGGTATATCGTAGGATCATATTAAGAATTTTACATGGATAAAGGCTAATTCATTATAGGATCTCTCAAATAAAGAATAATATGTGTCTTCTGTCTATTGGGCCATTACGACAATGGTTACTGTAGGTTATGGAGATATTACACCTGTAAATACTACTGAAAGACTAGTAACTATTTTTAACATGCTAATTGCCTCTGGCATATATGCTTATATTATCAATGAAGTTTCTACTACCGTAAGACAATATAATACTCTAGCTTCAAAGTATGAGGAGAGAATGAAATATGTCAACAAATTCATGATTTAAAAAGGAATTCCTTAGCATCTTAGGACAAAAATTGTACGATATTTGGAATACAATTGGGAGTAAAAGAAGAACATCAAGATTGAGCAAAGTGAAGTGTTTGGCTTGCTAAATGGATCTTTAAGAGACAAAATAACAGTATATATTAACGGCCGTATTTTGAGAAGCATACCAGTCTTTGACAGATTTCCGATAGAATTCGTTTCGAGATTGATGTATAAATTTACTAAGAAATCTTATGCAGTAGATGATGTTATTATCAATGTAAGAAAAATTATCTCATTTATTAAATCTTTAGGAGGACTAATTTGGAACCTAGATTTTCTTTATCAACCAAGGAAAGGTACTTGTGCTTCATAAAAAATCTATGTCATTCATTACAGAGCTAAAAAAGGATGAGTACTTTGGTGAAATTGGTTTCTTTTCAGATTTACCTAGACAAGCAACAATAAAGTCAAGAGATTATACAGAACTTATGGCTCTTGATAAGGCTTAATTCCTAGAAATCATCGATGATTAAGACAATTAGACAGCTGTAATATAATTATAATTATTTAATATTTTTATTTAGTCTCTTTACTATCAAATTCATGGCTCAATTGACTAGCAGAGAAAAGATTTCTCATAACTTATGATTAAGTGCTATGTCTGTAGAAGAAACAATCATATCTTCCATTAATGCGGGAAATTTAGTTTGAAAACTAAGGGTAACTTGATACCATTTATTGTTAAGAGTGAGATGGCAAAACATTAAAGCAAAAATACAAAATCTTTTATGTCCAGATTTTAAAGCAAAAATGTTAACAAAGATAAGATAGGTAATTAAACAGGGGAATTCTAAAAAAGTGAAGAATAAGAGGAAGATGTTTTAGAAATGATACACATGGACTTGCAAAGAAAAAAGCAGGATAACCATAATGTTCCACCTAATTCAACACTTAATTCAAGTCAGATGGATGAAGAAGATAGTAGACTCAGATAAATGTTTAACTAGGATATTAATAGACAAATTGAGATATTTGAAAAGCAGATGACGCAAAGGACTTTTAGAAGACCAACTTTACCAATTGCAATAGAGGGATTCTCTAATCGAAGCAATAAATTTAACAACTCAAACAATACTTTGAATAGTCATGTCTAGCAAGAAGATATGTTTTCATTAATGGCAGAACATAGAATGAAATTTCAGCAAAGAATCTCAGTAAGAAATGAACTTATGAATTTTGATGACGAAATCATCGAGGAGTAATCTATGAGTGATTCAGAATTTTCATCTAGAAGTGTAAGAATGGCCAGAGATAAATTAAATATACAACACAGTAAATTGCAAGCCAAAAAATGTTCATCTATGAGAAATGGTAAATCTGATATCAATCTAACAAAAAAGTCATTATAAAGGTAGATTTCGGTTAAGAAGAGAAGCACTATTAAGAAAAACTTTAACAATAGCAAAATGACCATACAATAAAGTCCTACCAACAAAAATGACGAAGCTGAGATGCAGAAAATTCTTTCTGAAGATGAATAAAAAGTAGATTCAAGCAGAACAACAGACTAATAGGATGAAAATGATAATCAAAATTATGGCATATCTATAACTCCAAAGCACCCTTTGCATAATCATTAGTATAGCAGAATGAGTTCACCCTACAACCCTAAGGAAATATCTAGAGAGCTCTCTTAAAAATAAGCTTAGGAATAGATTATAATCCAATAATAACAAAAATAATCATAAATTTGGTAAGTGTAGTAAGAAGAACAACCATAATAATAATTTGAAAATAGAAATGTATTAGGGTAAAAACCTTAGGATTAGGAGAAGAAAAGTTCTTTTATAAGAGTCCCTGAATCAACTTTTAAATATCATCAATCTTACACACGAATCCTTATAGATGGGAAAAATAAGAGAAATAGTAACCAAAAAAAGATTCAAAATATCAAAAGAAAACCTAAAGCTTCTAGGATTCAGCAGAGAGATTTGTTTAGTAATAAATTCTTCGTTGAGGATTTCCTAGAAGACATAAATTCAGTAAACCTAATAGAATAAGACTCACTTTAAATGATGATGGAGAATACTCCAAGATCAGCATAGTTTAAAAATATGTAGTTTAGAAGAACAACTACTAGAGGTAATACAGGTGTGAATCCTTATTAATTTATCAATGTTCCAAGGAATCAAAGACTTCATCAATTTTCCTAAAGTGGAAGTCCAATTGAAACCAGCTTTGCGAATTTTAACCCTATAAAGAACACAAGCTAAGAAACAGATGATAGTTTCCTTCAGGATCTCCATAAAAGATGATAATATACAGCAGTTATTTAATATAAATAAGAAGTCTGTAATATTGCAAATCTTTAAATTTAATATCATTTTTAATATTTATAAACATTCAAAATAGCATTTAGAGAAAAGAGGGGTTTTGGGGTTTTGGGGTTTTGGGG